ACTGGAGCGATGCTGATATTGTGCGCTCCATTGACCGACTCCTGCAGGAGGACGTCTGGACGCTCAAGGCTTCTGAGCGAACTCGTCTCCTTAGTTACTGGCAGGAGGCGGCTCTCACAGAGATCAGTCAACAAGTATTGACACTTCTAGAAGCTCATTCAGCAGAAAAGGAGCGATATACCTCAGCCTTCAACATATCGGATGTGCAACGCCTAAACGACTGTCAGGTCGTAGGCGTAACTACTACCCAACTAGCAAACAATGCTGATTTGCTTCGAAGCCTCAATGCAAAAGTGCTCATCTGTGAAGAGGCAGCAGAGGTTCTTGAGTCGCATGTTCTAACTGCGCTAATACCTTCGATCCAGCACGCTATTCTGATAGGAGATCACTTGCAGCTACGTCCACGCATCTCCAACCTTAGGTTATCAATGGACTATGAACGGGAGAGCCCAAAGTACAACCTCGATGAGTCATTGTTCGAGCGACTAGCAAACTTCCGGTTGGGAGAATCAACATCTAGTGAAGGTGGACAGAACAAGCAGGAATATAGCTTCCCTGTGATGCAGTTGAGCCATCAGCGGCGGATGCATCCATCCATTTCCGAACTGGTCCGCGAGACTTTATATCCAAAGCTCCAAGATCATCCAACAATGGCCTCTTATCCCCTTGTACCTGGCATTGCCCACAGATTGTTTTGGCTCGACCACTCTCAGTGGGAAGATCCGACTGATCCTACAGAGCCAATGCAAAGCAAGACGAATACATGGGAGATTGGGATGGTGACCGCATTGGTGCGACATCTCTGTCGACAAGGCAAGTATGGGCCCGGCGAGATTGCCGTATTGACGCCATACGTTGGACAGTTGAGAATGCTCAAAAATGTCCTGGAAAAGGAAATGACCCTAATAATCAGCGAAACGGACTCGGATGTACTCGATGAATCTGAGGGGTTAGAAGTGAGTGGAACCTCTACTGCGCATGGGAAATGGTGTGGAAAGCAGAGGGCCCCTCAGAAGAGAAGCCTCCTAGATGTCGTTCGATTGGCTACAGTCGACAATTTTCAGGTAGGCGATACCCCAAATTTGCAAAGAGTAATTCTAACACACTTTCTACCAGGGCGAAGAAGCCAGTGTCGTTATTGTCTCCCTTGTTCGCAGCAACAGAGCCCGAAATTGTGGGTTTCTGAAGATGCCAAATAGGATCAACGTACTGCTCAGGCAAGTGTTACACAGGGATTTAACTTATTGTATAGATGCTGACTTGGTCTCCAGCCGTGCCAAACATGGCATGTATATTATTGGCGATGCAAGTACGGCATCAACCGCGCCCATGTGGTCATCCGTTATTCAGCTACTGGAGAAAGGCGCCAATATTGGCCGGGAACTTGAGTTGCGTTGCGATCGTCACCTGTCCAAGGCGTTCTACGTTTCTTGCCCGAATGACTTCACCATACATGCCCCTGAAGGCGGATGTGCAGAAAAATGCCGACTAAGGCTAGACTGCGGGCATACCTGTGCTGTGAAGTGTCACTCAGAAAGACAACACAAAGCAGTTAAATGTATGGAGCTGTGCACTCGGATGAAAGATTGCGGCCATGCATGTCCAAAGAAATGTCATGAACAATGTGGGGAATGTCTGCAGGTGGTCCATAATGTCCTCCTCCCTTGTGGACATCTAGCGGAGGCCGTGGAGTGCAGGCAATTGGATAATCTCGCAAACGTGCGGTGCACTAAACGCGTTTCCCGCACTATGGATCGCTGCGGCCACAGTGTCGAGATACACTGTTTTGAAAATGATGGTGCAGTGAATTGCTTTCATCTGTGTGACAGCCCCCTGTCTTGCGGGCATACCTGTCGACGTCTATGCTGGCAGTGTAGATACACAGAGGGCGACTCCTACCACATTGATCATGGCCGTTGCCGAAACCCATGCGGTCGGGGATTCTCGGCTTGCTCGCACAGCTGTGGCCAACCATGCCATCAGGGTAAACCCTGCCCGCCTTGTAATTTGACTTGCGAAGTGCGTTGTCGGCACAGCCGTTGCGCAAAGACATGCAACGAGCCGTGTCCCCCATGCGCAGAGACATGTGGATGGGGCTGTGAGCATCGCGAACAGTGCAGTATGCCATGTGCTGTCCCATGTAACAACATTCCTTGTGATTTGCGATGCAAGAAGAAATTCACAAGCTGTGGGCATCAATGCCCTGGTATCTGTGGGGAACGTTGTCCGGATCCTCGTTTCTGCCGCCTGTGCTGTGGACCAGATATCCTGGAGCAAAATGTTGATCTTATCGAGCTCAAGGCGTACAAAGACGTGGACATCGACCAAGATCCATTGGTATTCCTCTCTTGTGGTCACTTCTACACAGCAAGCTCACTGGACGGCATAATGGGGATGCCTGAACATTATGAAGTGGAATCATCTACGGGCAGGATACTTGGCCCGAAACTTACACACCGATTATTGGATTCTGGGCGTCCAAAAGGGTGTCCTCAATGCCGTGCACCACTTCGTGATATCGATCGCTATAACAGAATGATCAAACAAGCATTCCTCGATGAAGCAACGAAAAAGTTTGCCACTCAAGCAAGCTTGAAGTTTAATAACCTGCTGGAAGAGGTTGAGGTCTGTGAGAAAGATATCGAGCGCGAAAAATCGGGTTTTGTATCTGAATGGTTGCAGGAGTCAGTCGGGATAAGAAGTGCCGACGAGGTCAAGCGCTCGGTTGAGGCTTATCGTGGAAGGGGAAACAGACTGTTGGGCAAACTCAAGGAGTTCACCAAATCTGTGGCAAAATCTGAGCAGCCGTTTGGGAGGGTCAGTGAGATACTCGCGTCAGCAACAGCGAGGAAGGCTAGCATGCCTGCACAACCCTTCCAATACAGTGAATCGTATATTCAAACCGGTTTTCAATCACGCGGCCACGTTCTCGCTCTTCGACTCACCTGGGCCCTTTTCTGGAACTTTGACTCCATCTACAGCAACAAGCGAATTGACGCACGCATAAAGATGACTCTGGCCCAAGTGGTAACGAATCAGATTAGTGGTCTACTGAGTCGATGTGAATCTCTGGCGAGGGATTGCCAGAAGGCTAAGTTTCTGCAGCAGGAGGTAGAGTCCCGAACGTATCATGCTATGTTCTCAGTGCTTTCCCTTAGCAATCAGGAAGCACGCGGTAACCCTGTCGAGGCAGCCATTGAAGCAAAGATACGGGAAAAGGCACTGAAAGAGCTGAAAGATTGCGATGCTATTTGTTTGCGCCATTCTAAAATTCTATGGTCTCTCCGTGAGGACATCGAAAAAGCAAGAAGACTGGTCAAGGGCGGAACATTCTACAGTTGTGTTACCAGCGAAGAAAGACGGCAGGTGTATCAGGCCATGGCGGCACAGTTCAACGGTACAGGCCACTGGTACTATTGTGAGAATGGGCATCCGGTATGTGACCTCACCATCAATCTCGTCGAGTACTAACTTGGATTGCCAGTTTGCGGTGGGAGAATGTGGGATGCCGATGGAAGAAAGTCGCTGTCCGCAGTGTGAGGCGCCAGTGGGCGGACTGAATCATGAGTTTGCTCAAGGGATCCGCAGAGCAGATGACATGGATGTGGAGTTTGGCGGTTCCCTTTCTCTCGAGGCGGACGCAGACTGGTAAGGCGCCAATCATATGATATTGATGTTGAGGTCGTTAAAATATGCACATGCGAGAGATGTTTCTGTAGTATATTGCGCCAGAAGCTAGCTAGCAGAATGATCATCGGCTTCGCGATAGCAAGGAGGTAAAGTAAAACCGTGAACCCACTACTATGGTAGCACTAACTATTACATGACATCCGACAGCTCTGAATACCTCTGTGTGTAGCCAATGTAGTTGATCGAGTATTGATTTTCAAGAAGCATGCACCACAAAACTCTTCCAGCTATCTTCCAAGTCCGAGTGCAACCCGATGCGATGCGGGATTTTTGACAGTGCATCCACGTCACGCACTCCCACCCCAGTGAGTATCATCAACCCATGTAGAAGCGGTTGCAATGGTCATGGTGTATCTAGACTCTCAAAAACCGGGATTATACCAAGGAGTGGCTGCAATGTGCTGGCCAGCCTTATCGGGCGGGCATCCATTCTGGCCGGGATGGCGTGCAACGTGTCTCGCCTCGCGTCGGCGGCATCTTCTTCCACTTCCCCTCCCCACTGCCCCTCCATCCTCAACCCCTCGATCGGCATCCACGTCGACTGGCAGGTGCAAGCTGCAAGCTTTCGGAACCCAGGTATGAATCTGATACGCCAGATGCGTTTCTCGGAAGTCTGCGACGCTGCAGCTTCCTTTCATGCTCCCAGCTTCCATCAAGGTGCTACCTCTCGCTTTATTCTATCGACAGGGATAGCATTGGCGTTGACGGTGCAGGGACTGATGTGACCGACATAGCTGGGTGTAGCATGCAGCAGGAAATAGTGCTACCTCCGGAGCAGAAGGGCTTTCACTACGGTTTCACGAAACTTGAGTTTGGCAGTGTCTGGTGGCCATACCACCCGTTGATCGCTGTCTTCCCTTGAACATTTGAATTCTCCTTCTGCGATACACCACACTGGCAGGTTATCGACACTGGCAGATGGAGGTATCGACAGCTGCAGGTCGATAGGGTCAGGCATTGCTACATGCAGCTATCTTCGAATACCCCGCAGTCACCATCTACCAATCTCCTAGGCCATACATCGTGTCAATCAAGAGAAACGTGCATTATCCAGCTTTGGTCGAATAGCCATGAATGGCGTCGGATGCATGCTGTACGTTGCAATGCCCAAATGAGGTCACCCAACAGATGCGTCTGTGATAGCCAGGCTATGGCTATCGCGCATATCGTGCAAAATCGGACTGGAAGAACGTTATGGAATGGTCAGGTCCAAGAACATAAAAGGCGTCAAGAGCCAGCTGCTCTCTTAGCATCTACAACTCCATCCTCATCCTAATCTACAAGCCATAAGCCTCCGATTCTCCGCCACCATGCCTCAGGACATTAAGGTACGAAAACACACATCATTCTTGTTTCAGCTACTGATCTTTATAGAACGCCCACTACTCCTATGACTACCTCCATGGGTTGAGGGAGAAGTACGAGAAGTCGGTAAGTGTTGCTCGACACCCAGGTCTGCTCATTTCTAACTGTCCCCTAGGCTCAGGACTTCTGCCGTGAGTATCTACAGAGTTATGAGTCGAATGGATATTAACAGCAGCAGGCGGTATGACCTTTGAGGACGCCCTTGCCCATGTCAACTCCACCGGCCGCACAGACTTCACCCGGGAACAGTTGGAGGCCTTTGACACCAACCATGACGGCAGCATCAACTTTGCTGGTGAGTGTCATAGGCATGTCTCGAAGAGGGCTACTAACTGGAATAGAATACATGGAATTGATGCTCAACAACGACAAGGAGCTCGCGTTCCGTAACGCCAAGTTCATCGCTTAGATTGGGAGGATCGGCCGGCTCTGTATATAGGCCGCGATATAGCATGAATAAATGATTATGACAACTATATTTATGTCTTTGTTGTTTGAGTCCGCCACAGACTCTGTACTGTGTAATCGCATTCCTCGTCATTCTCACATCAAATATTAGTAATAATTCTTCCTGATGTCAACATTCAAAGCCCAGCATTCCACAATATTCATATGATGTCATGTCTCAATCCCTAACATCTTGCTGAAACAGGTACCGCTCTGTTATTTAATCGAGCAAACAGTATAGTAGGAAGGTCACCCTTGCATGTGGTATGATACTATTGGCGGCATCCAGTGTTGATCGTATTCAATATGACCAGTAGTCTCCACTTCAGCAGTGGGTTTGTGATAGCCAAGATATCGGCAGTAGACCTGCAGAGCATCTACACTTCTTCATCTCACCTCACTTGTCCCTCTCTCACTACATCTTCAATTCCACAAAGTTACAGACATCATGTGGCTCTCTCTCGTGTGCAGTATTCTGCTGCCACTTGGGGTAGTCAACGCCCAGTCTCAGTACCTCAATGACAAAACCAAAGGTATACCACATCACGTCAGTTCGAAGTCCACTAACAGCACTAGAATTCGTCGTCAATGGCTCTGCCCTTCCTTTTGTCGATTTCGACATTGGCGAGTCCTACGCGGGCTACCTCCCCAACACGCCATCTGGCATCTCGAGCTTATACTTCTGGTTCTTTCCTTCTACCGATCCTAATGCGTCCGATGAGGTATGTCGACCCCATTTCATTCCCTTCCATGGCTAATAGGCAGATCACCGTCTGGTTGAATGGCGGCCCAGGATGCAGCTCTCTGGCAGGCATCATGCTCGAAAACGGTCCCTTCTTATGGCAACCTGGCACCTACCGACCCGTGCGCAACCCTTATTCCTGGAACAACCTCACCAACATGGTGTACATTGATCAGCCTGCTGGAACGGGATTCTCGCTTGGTCCGTCCACGGTGGTCTCGGAATTCGATGTAGCGAGACAATTCATGGATTTCTGGAGACGGTTCATAAATACGTTTGATCTGCAGAATCGAAAGATCTATCTCACTGGCGAGAGTTACGCGGGGCAGTATATTCCATATATCGCGTCGCAGATGCTAGACCAGGATGACGATAAGTATTTCCGGGTTGCCGGCATCCAGATCAATGATCCGTATATCAATGAGGTGCCAGTTCTGCAGGATGGTATGGTGCCCCTGACAGGAGTTGGTGTTTAGTGCTCTAACAATGAGGACTGCAGTGCCTGCTCTTGCGACCGTTAACCAGCACCGCTCTCTTTTCCCCTTCAATGACACCTTCATGAGCCAAATCACCCAGCTTTCCGACGACTGTGGCTACACTTCGTTCCTAGAAGATGCCCTTACCTTTCCACCCCTTTCCAAATTGCCATCAGTGCCCTACAATGCCAGCTGCAACACCTGGGAGACCATAATCAACGCCTCGCTAGCTCTCAACCCATGCTTCAACCGCTACCATATCCCCGACTCCTGTCCCATGCCGTGGAACCCAGTCGGGGGTCCCGTCGTCGGCCAGGGTCCAACCAACTACTTCAACCGCAGCGACGTCCAGAAGGCCATCAACGCTTACCCAACGGACTATTTCGTCTGCAAGGACGGAATCTTCCCGACGGCCGACGGACTGGACACATCTCCCCCAAGCTCCCTGGGACCGCTGCCGCGCGTCATCGAACAAACCAACAACACCATCATCGCGCACGGCCTGATGGATTTTGAGCTCCTGGCGCAGGGAACCCTGATCAGTATCCAGAATATGACCTGGAACGGGAAGCAGGGGTTCGAGCGGGAGCCAGTGGAGCCGTTGTTCGTGCCGTACGGCGGATCATCGGGAGGAGGTATATTGGGAACAGCACATACAGAGCGTGGATTGACGTTCTCGACAGTGTTCAGTTCAGGACATGGTAGGTCCCCTATCCCACCCAGTATGCGATGAAGCGGGTTACTAAATGGACTGGAATAGAAATCCCAGAATATGCACCGGGAGCAGCATATCGCCAGCTAGAGTTTCTGCTAGGGAGGGTCGCGAATCTGTCAATGGGATTACCGGAGACAGACAACAATAAAAGCAAAATGCATTATTGCAGGCAATAATTGAGCAGGTGCAGATGACGGAGCAGAATGGTCGAGCTGTCAGATCGGATGATTGTTCGGCAATGAGATCAGTTAGTGAAGCTAAACTAGCTCTGCTGAACTTGCTTCTCCACCACAGCTATCGCCAACATAATCCAATCATCACTGCAATTCTACCTTGATCCCCTCATCGTAGACCCGTAAATCCGACAAACAATATACTAGACGTGAACATCTTCATCAAAGGCCAATCAAGACCCCCAATTCGATATGGCATCTTAATGATCGACATCATCGATCCGACCTCGGATCGGAAATTCCCCCAAACTGTGCCGCGCTGCTGGGTCCACCCCGCATCTTCACAGTCAAAATTTAATAATCCCCTCAATTAATTAATCCCTTCTCCATCTTCCACTTACTTTCCGTGTTCCCTCCCATACAATTTATCCCTTTTTGTATACTTACTGTAGTATCTATTCACAATGTCACCAACATCCATACCAACCCACCAAACCGCCGCCTGCATCGACAATCCCAGTCCGGGCGCGACCCTCACTATCCGCCATGATATTCCCGTTCCGGTGCCGGGAGCGGGGGAGGTTTTGGTCAAGTTGGAGTATACGGGGTTTTGGTAGGGAGCCAGACACAGAATGGATCTGATTTATCATTAATATATGAATATGCTGATGGGTTGTGTTGCAATGGATAGTCACTCCGATCTGCATAATATTAATGGGGACTTGGTCATGACGACGAATGTTCCGGGACATGAGGGGGTGGGGAGGGTTGTGAGAGGTGAGAATGCCGAATGGAATTTTGAAGTGGATCGCGACTGATGGGTGTAGTTGGACCTGATACTCCGGCTGAGATGATGGGGAGGAGAGTTGGTGTGAAGTATATTATCCCGGTTTATAAGTCAACGCTTTGGTGGGATAGACTAATGAGGTGTCTATCTAGATGGCTGTATAAGTCATGCATGAAGTGTCCGACGTGCAAGGTGCAGTATACGAATTGTCGGAATCAGGATAATTCGGGGAGGGTGAGTATTTTCCACCCTAGTATACCTTCGGAATTGATGCTAATGATGGTGATAGAACGTTCCCGGGACATTTCAACGTGAGATATCTGTTATGCCATATTAAAGAGGATGCATCCAGCTAATAATGGTATAGAATACGTCGTCTCTCCTGCGAACTTCGTCTCTCTGATTCCAGAGGATCTGAATCCCGAAGCTGTCGCGCCGTTGCTATGTGGTACGTTTTCACTTTCTTCATCAAGATTACCACTAACCGGTTAGCCGGCCTCACCATGTACGGCGCACTCAGCAAGGTACAGAAGCTATATGAAAAAGGCGATTGGGTGGTTATAATGGGTGCAGGTGGTGGACTGGGCCATTTGTATGTCTTCCGTGCCGATATCACGGACAACACTGATGGGTGTATAGGGGCCTTCAAATCGGCAAAGAAATGGGATACAAGATGATCGCAGTAGACAGGTACGCCTCTTCCCATCTTTGCCAGACAGCACTAACATCTCTCAGCCCATCCAAGAAAGACCTCTGCCTCGCATCCGGTGCATCCGCCTTTCTCGACTTCAAAGATGACAACGTACACCCCCTCCCTTTTCCACCTTTACATATATACTAATGCTTAACAGTTAATCCACAACATCCAATCCCTAACCGACGGCATCGGCGCCCACGCTGCCCTCATCGTCGTCGGATCCGAAAAAGCCTACGAGCAAGGCGTTGCTCTTCTTCGTCCGCTGGGGACGCTCGTATGCGTGGGCTTTCCCCGTCCGGACTTCCATGTGCCTGTGGCACCGCACTACTGCGTGGACTATGGACTGCAGATACTCGGTAGCGCGGTGGGTACGGAGACGGAAATGCAGGCATTGTTGGAGATGGCGAGGGCAGGGAAGGTGTCGACGCATTACGAGGTGTTTGATCTCGAGCAGATCAATGATGTCGTGGCGAGGATGAGACGGTATGCGGTGAGTGGGAGGGCAGTGTTGCGGATTCCGGAGGCAGCAGTTGCGAGGATGTAACTGTACAGTAGATGTCAAATGTACTCGATAGCACATATAGTGTATACCAAATCTTATTCCAGCTAAGTACAACATAACTAATCAATAGTATCAACTACTAACCAAACAACAACTGACCCAGTATATCCCCAACCCAACCCACTCATCCCCCTATTAAATCACCCACTCAGAGCCCTCCAAAAAACGACGCCAACCCACCCGCCGCCGACGAACTACTCGCGGCATCCGAGCTCGAGCTAGAACTAGTAGTAGTACTAGTACTCGTCGACGACTGAACCTTCTCAGCCAAAAAGCTCGCCGCATCACCCGCATCCAACCCATACGTCAAATGCATAGCGGTAACAATCAACGTATCATCACAGACCAAATCACCGACGGCACAATAAACCTTGACATCATCCTTGGGATAGTTCGGGATCTGTCCATGGTCTTGCACGTTTCTCGTGAACCCGAAGAGCACTACACCCTTCACTTGGTCTCTCACTGTCGTGCTGAGTTCTTGGACTGCGTTGTCGATTACGGCGCTTCCTTGACTGTACCCATCCCCAGATATATCAGCATATGTTTTTTTTACTTTTTCTTATCCTTCTGAGGAAGGTAGATGGATAGGGAAGAAGAAGGTGATGGGGGAAGGAATACCTATAACCACCCGCCACAATCTTCGTATTAGGACACTTCGAATTCGCCTCCTCGAACATCTGCTTCGCGGCAGAGATACTCCCCGGATCAGTGTTCTGGGGTAGCGCATTCTGCACCAGTCCGGCGCTGTATTGGCCGCCGACACCCTGGCAGGCGACTTTATCGGATCCGAGTTTGGATTTAAGGCTGTCGCAGAGGGGAGGGCCGATTACGGTGCCCTACATTATCCATCATTATTATATTAGCATGTGATGTTGTTTTACTTACTACTACCCACTTTGTGTTGTTCCTGGGTAGTAGATGATTGATAAAGAGAAGGTAGTATGGGGGGTATACCATATTCCCCAACTCAGTCGATCCTCTCGCAAAGATCAACGTCACATCCTTGCAGCTTCCCTGCTCGAGTTCGTTGGCTGTAGAGCCCGTGCCGAATTGGCGGGCGTAGAGGGATCCAGGGTCTGATGCTAGTGGGGTGGAGATGGCCAGGGTGGCTAGGGAGGCGGTTAGGAGGAGGGATTTGAGGGGGGCCATTTTTATTCCTTTTTTTGTTTAGGGTCTTGGGAAAAAGAAGAAGAATTAATGTGTGTGTGCTGCGCTGCAGGCTTTGAAAAGAAGAATAGAATTAGGGTAGTGGTAAAGAAGGCGTGAGAATGAAAGAGGGACTGAGTGAGTGGACTGGCTGCTCGAGTCTGAGTCTGCCTGGGTGTGTGTCTGGGGGATCTACTACATACTTATATACATCTTTCCATTCTATGGATAGTTAATTAACTACTGCTGTTACTATTACTACTGCTAGTAAGTACACTAAGACAAACAAGAAGATTCTGAGGTTAGTCTCTCCGTATACATTGTGTTAGGTAGGGCAAGACAGGGCAAGCAGGGTCCGACGCAAAAATGAGTCGAGATGAAACAGAACTAAACTAAACGAACTAGACTAGTACCTAGTCAGTAGTAGACCCTTTCAACACAGTCAGTCCACTATCTAACGAACTAGCAAGTATACCCCGGGCTCAGCAGTGGGAAAACTGTTTCAGGGGATCGGCCGCTTTTCTACGCTGGGAATAGTTCCCCGGAAAACCAGGGTTCACAGGCATCCATCCATCCCTATCAGTTAGGGTTCCTCCGGAGTTCATCCGACGTGTGTCCGTTCATCCACTAGATAGATATCCAGGGACCAGGGACCCTGTTACAGGTTGGTTGGTTGCCTTGGGCAGGGCATGTGGGTGATTAATTAACCTGTAGCGGGTGGCTTTTCCACCGTAAACTCAATTTCTATCCTAAACCTCGTATTCTTATTGACGACTGATGGTATGTATGGTATAGGCAACCACGTTCACAATCAACACAACCGTTGTTTCGTTTTAGTTGGGTGGAAAAGCTTGTCGGTTTGATCTGGTTTTTGGGTCGAGCGTCTTTGCCGAGGTAAGGTTGGATGGTGGATGGTGGATGGGGGGGATCGTCAGGGACGGAATTGACTGATTGAATTGATTTACTGTTGTCATCTAGGGATAAGTTCTTCTGGAATGCCGTCTTTTTCTTCCGAAAGGATCAATATTTGGTTCGGGGTGGAGAGGGCTTCACTAGGATTAACGGTCCATCAATCAATTAGAGTCATGCTCATGATCACGTCGAATGTCTACGAACTAGGTTAAATGAAACATGCCGTGTCTATCGTCTTCTCGATTTGTGATCTTGTGCTATCCACTACACATTAAGTATCTTCTAGTCCTGCCACCACCCGGATAACCCGGAAGGTCCTCAATGTGCCGTGTGCGTTTTCAACGGTCTGTCTCTGACACCGTCCGTGTCAGGCTCAATTCCCGCCGTCCACATGCTTGGTCAATGTCTCGATGAAAGACTCGCCCCATTTCGCACTTGTGTTCGTCTCGATAAAGTGTCGCAACGTTTCATACCGAGACTTGCGATCCTCGTCATTCATTGTGACCGCTTGATGAATCGCATCAACCATCTCTGACATGTTCGCTGGATGGAAAGTAAGACATCCCTCCTTCATAAAAGACGCCGCGCCGGCAAACTCGGATAGCAGGAGCACTCCATGCCGCTGCGCCTGGCACGCAACGTACTCGAACGAAACTAGGTTCATCCCATCCCGCGTCGAGGTCAGTAAGCAGGCATCGGCAACCGAGTACAGCGCCGTCAGTTCGCTGAAGTTGACGGACCGGTGCATGTAAATCAGAGGACAGCCATCGGCGGTAGCTACATCGTCAGCACCATAGACCAAAATCATAGCATAGGGTACTCACAATGCTTGCCGTTAATCCTCCCAGCCATCGTACTCAACTCCGTCTCTAAGTCCTGATACTCCTTCACATCCTCCCGACTAGGCACCGCCACCTGGATAAGCACCACCTTATTGCTCAACTCCGGATACTGATCCAAGAAAGCATCATAGCCCTTCAACTTCTGGTCAAGCCCCTTGATATAATCCAGCCGATCCACCCCAACAATAACCTTCATCCCCGAATACCTGCGCTGCAACTCCTTTATGCGATTCTGCACTTCCTCATTCTGCAGCGCATCCGTAAATTTCTGCGGGTCGATACCGACAATGAACTTCTCCGCAACCACCTCATGACCCTCATACTCCAACGCCCCTGACTCTTTCACCTTCGCATCGGCCCTAACACACTGTCAGCACATCCCGGTACCCACAAGAGGAACACAACCTACAGAGTCTCCGCGCAAAGCACAAAATTCCTCTTATACTCATCCGTATGAAATCCAATCACATCACTCGCCAGCAACCCCCTCAACAATTCCTTCTGCACCGGCAGACCACGCCAAAAGTCTCCCGCCGGGAACGGCGTATGCAGCGAAAACCCAATCGCGCAATTCTTCCCCGCCAGACGATCCCTCAACAGCCGCGGCAGCAGCATAAGATGGTAATCATGCACCCAGATCAACGACCCCGGCTTGGCTGCCTCGGCGATCGTATCAGCAAAGATCTCGTTCACTCGTTGGTATGCTTCCCAGGGACCGTCTTCGAAGTTGATGCCGGATTGGTAGTGCAGGATAGGCCAGAGGATGGCATCTAAATCAGAGAAATATATATTAGCATACCCTACTCATCCTATGTGAGATATAGAAAATTTGGTGGCATCGCACTAGAAAAGTTATTATAGTGATTGTTCGCCAACTCATTATCCAAGAAAATCGGCACAGCATTATGCTCATCCAAGCTCTGGCGGACTTGTCCCTGTTCCTTTTCATCGGTCACATCAATGCCTGGCCATCCGAACCAGCTGAAGGTCGTGGTTTTAGTCAATCCTGATAGGGACGTGACTAGACCTCCACTAGAAAGGGAGGATTCGTATCCCGCGTCGACCTTTTTCAGTGACAGGGGGAGACGGTTCGAAACGACGATGAGGTTGCGCTTCGTCATGCTGGGCTGATTGGTAGTAAATCAACGCGATCAATGAAGTAAATTAATTGCTATGTTTCGAGCTGCATGTTGCGCTGAGCAAGGCGCGATGGGTTTGTATAATATCTCCGGCGGCAGAGCAATACGTCAGCATGAGGGCACGACTCAGGCCCGCACGGGTGGCAGAGGGGCACCCAAAGAGTCAAATGAATGCCTTATTTCACCCCCTGGAGGGGCACCCTGTATTTCATGTCTGGACCGTGGACGGATCTCCGCTGCTAATGCAACGATGTTGCGATTTTGCCTGGTTATGTTGGATGTGTCAAGCTGGGCCGACGCGGTGGCTGGTGATCATCCAGCCGTGGCCGACGTCATTATTGGTCATCTGACCCTATAAAACATAGGATAATAAAATGGGGATTACGTCCAGTAGGTGACAGCATGGTCAATGTTATTACGTATATACACGAACAGTAAAATCCAATCAACTCCAGTCCAGTCTTTTCATTCCGCCCAATGCAGTGCCTGTGCAACTCCGTCTCCCGCTGATGCCACAAAGTGTAGAATATGCCTACCTCATCCGCTTGGATGGACTCGGCGTACGCATACGAGATTCCCGCTCGCGAGTCCGCTCAGATACAAAGTCCTTGGTCGCGGCCTGCTCCAGCATGAGCGGCGCCTCTGGCTTCTCAAACCCTGTAGCCCCCTGATTCGGCGCTCCCATGTATCCAATCGAGTTATGCTGGTAGGGGTATTGAGGCGGCGCAAGCGACGGGTGATGCTGTGCAGACGACTGTCGAGAATAGCTAGGGGGCGCAGAATAATCGTGTTGGTTGAGGCGGTTTCTGAAGGAACGGAAGGACCAGTTGCTGACAACGGTGACGGTCGAAATCGTAGCAAGGAAAAACATCTACAATATTAGCCGAGAACTTGCTTTGGGGAGGGTAAACCTACAATCGCCTTCCAGCTGATAGGGTCGATAAAGCTGTTGATGATTACAGCCATCGTATGCGCCGACACCTTAGCCCGCCCGACCTTGGCCGGATCCCGGTTCATGCATCGCTCCCAGTTTTCACACACGCTTTCCAAGGCCGGCAGTCTATCCCCTCCTGCGCATCGATTGTCGACGTAACTCTTCGCGCATGCCGCCATTTCAGCCAGGATCGTATCCGACACCTCCTCGGCCGCCTGCTCGAATTCTGCCCGGATCGCTGACACGAACCCAAAGACCACATATACCGCAAGCGAGAACAACGACAGGTTCACCACCAACTGCGCCCACCAAGACAGAATGCTAGGGACATTCGGATGTGCTTCCAGCAGAGCAAAGAAATCTGAGAATGAAGTCAGACGTGATCCCGTTTGAGTCGTCTCCGGCTGGCCTGGTCCCGGCTTCTGTCTTTGCTTGGTTGGCTTGAGCTCACTGCTGCTTGGTCGGTCACTCTCATCGTCACTGTCCCTTCGTAGTTGTAGATCCAGCGCCTTGTCCCTCCGCCGTCTCTTCTGTACCCGTCGTGCCAACGCGTTGGAGTAGTGGCTCACGCGGGGTATCTCGCCGCGACCAGGGCTCGGCGCGAACCGTCCGTACATGCTGAACAGCGAGTTCCGATGGGCTTTCGGTTGCTCGGGGGTATCTTCGTTGTCTGCGTGTTCGGGGGAAGACATGTTCTCGGCGCCGGACGAGAAGTCGACATCGAATTTGCGAGGCGTCATGAATGCTGACTGGTTAAAGAACGGCTTCGGAGTCGCGGGGGGTTGCTGCGTCTTGGTCTGGGAGAAGAGGAAGGGCTGGGAGTTGGGCTCTCGCAGAGCGGGCATCGTTTTCTTCTCTGGAGAATCGAAAATGCTATGAGGGCCTGTGGAGGAGCTGGTTAGGCGCCAAAAAACAAATGTTTGTCTCCAAGAGAGCTGCATCCAAGACCCACGTTTCTTCTGATTGTCATGCTGCATGCTGAGCTGGTAAAAGGGCGAGGTCACATCTCCGGGGGCCCTTGTCTGCCATTCAAAGTCCATCGGACTCTCCGCCGTTCGTTTGTCCATCTTGAGGATGGTGACGACGAAGTGAATGAAGAATGAAGATGGTTGGTGGAGATGAAGTGGTTGTGACGACAATGAAGGGTGATGAGAAGGAAGATCGGAGATGCGGACTTTTCCGATTCCTGTCTTTTTTGTTTTGGTAAACAATCCAGACTCGCCGCCGAGCAACGACTGGAGTCCAAATGCCACCCGTGGCAGTCGCAGTGATATACACGATCTTCCTTTTGTTTTATAGTAATTTATTTAAAGTGGGCTTAATGTAATGAAGTCGATATCCAAGTCGTATTAAATTGCATGCGGCTGCAGACAGTGCTGGACTGTGACGTGCAGCAATCGCCCAGATGCACCTCACGGTCGCAGTTGTCCTATTAATAGCCTGACAGTCAGTAATTATGATCGCCAAACGAATGAATGGCTGGCTACTTCCATTCGAACAGCACAATTAAGGGACTAATCCAATTAGCACAATGGCATGGCATTTGCGGGGGGCCATCACCCCGGACTCCCGTTGCGACTCGTCGGTCGCGCCCGCTTAACCTTTATTCCCCACCAGACTACCCTCTTCTCTCGAAAAGTGTTCTTGAAATGTTATTTCTGTCATGGTAAACATGATTCCATTGCTGGGATAGTATATTCGGTCTAAGCAATACTACAGTGGGGATCATTAATGAACGCTGAGAAACAGAAGAGGACAAACAACCCCGGACTTCCTCCGCGTGTCGATCACAACAGAACGAGTGACTGGAGCAGGCGCAAAGTGATGTACAACATGCAGAAATGTCAAAAGGAATCAGTGATCAGTCTGTGTCCAACGCCAGAATCAAGGACCGTGGTTAGGGATATCGACGCCAAAAGCACTAATGAGAAGAGGAAGCAACAGACGTGTCGTGTCATAGCTTGATCCGATCGACCAGCTCAAAGTCATCGTCGTCAGCCATGTAGCCCAGGGCTGTCTCACCCTCATAAGAGATCATCTCGTACTCCTTGACAATCCGCTCTGTCTCCTTCGTCTCGAACTTCTCGACAGCCTTGCTCACAGCATCAGAGAGTATAGTCTGGCCCGCCACATCATAGTCACGCAGCGTATCCTTCCCCTCGGCATCATCGATAATCTTCTCCGCCGCGGCAGGGTCATCGATATCATCGCTGGAAGAATCCGACGTTGCACTGTCGAGAGCCTCCCGGACGTCAGCACGCAGGGAGATCTTGGCATCGCTGAGTTGATGGTTGGTTTCAGCCTTTCGCTGGAACCGCATATGGCGTGTCAAGCTAGCGGCTGTCAGCGACATTTCTAGTTGTCAGGCATGGAAACATACGTTGTGTAATGAGTAGCTGGCATCCTCGGCCTCGCCTTATGCAAGACATGAGAGTGGACAGCTTGGCTATAACGAGGCAGGGTAGAACGGCTGCCGTACGCCCACTTGGCCTTGTGGTCGTGAGCCCTTTTGGCCTCAACGCCAGCACGACGGATATCAAGCAAGGAGTCAGACATGACTAGAGAGGATGGTTTGGTGTCGACGGATGCGGGAGAAGACAGTCTCGGATATATACAAGGAATAGGTAAACCACACTCGGGGTGATGGGTGGCGCTTGCCTCTGTTATTGAGGGATGTTTGGAACAGGGGAATATAAAGCCAGGAAATTGAGGCGAGAGCGGTGGACAAAAGACTGAATACTAAGGCAGACCCGCGAACCAAAAATCTCCGATAAACAATAAACAAGAGAGGTTACAGGGCGTCTTTGGTCTGAGTCATAAAGAGGCCCCGGCTGGGCTTCCAGTCATCGACGACCCGAGGATGTCGAGCGGCAAATGCGCAGGGTAGACTCTCAACGATGGGTGAATGAGTAATAAAGAGATCTGGCAAGGAGACCCTTCTCTGAGCAAGTCGAGAAGAGGACAGAAAAGAGGCAACAAAGTGACACCTTGGGGGCGAGCTCGTCATCCAGGGGAAGATATAACTACTATCTCCAACCGCACGCGCTCCGAGGGGGGAAGACTAAATAGGCAGCACGGGGTCCGCGCGAGGCGATGCTGATTATGGCAGGTCATCTGTTGGAAATCATCTATCGTCATCGTAGCCTGTAACCTGTAGCCTACTAGCTATTAACTAATCCAAGGAAAAGACTATCTCTACTATCGGAGGGGGTGGGAAATCAGCTATCAATCCGGCGCGGCAGTTACTAGACTATTCCCCCCTGGATTGTTATCGTTGCTGCTGCTGCTGCTGCCGATCCCCCGAGCGCCACTTCTCGACCCACGGTTTAGCGCCCCCTCACTCTGCTTCTCACTAAGTAGTTCAGTCGATTCCCGAGGTTAAACGCGCAAAATGCCAGAATTCCAGCCTTTGGGAAGTTGGATCTTGCCGGTGGTCCTTTTTTCTTCCAAGGCTGAATGGGAAAGGAGGATCCCTCCAACAATAGGGCCAACTGCATGAGATGTGATCCACTGCCTCAGGCACGTTGTGGTCGATCTGGAACGTCACTTGTCAAGGATGGCACGGTAATTAACTGCATGCTGAATGGATCGGTTCCTCTGGATCGGAGTCTCTGTCTGGGACAAGGAAAATGCCGCCGTAAATCAAACCCTGCATCTGCCAATCGCCTCTGCTCGTGGTTACCCGTGACGTTCCTGTTATCGCTGGGCTTGTCCTGCTGAGCGGGTGATCCCATGCTCCGAAGCCATCTGCGATCTGACCGTAGTTAGGGCGGGCAGCTGACTTGATGGCTGCGCCAGTCACTTGCGATGGATGTAATGTGATGTATGCAGCTTAGTTAATAAGATTGTGACATCAGCTGGAATGTTGTTTGCTGCTGATGGACTGATTAGACGGATGTAGAAAGGAAATACTCCTGTCTGCTAGTTGCTTGGCTCGTATTGTTGAGGGTCTAATGGTGCTTGTGCATTGTGTTAGGTAATTATCCCACGCTTTGTGTTGATTATACTGTCATCTGAATGTATTCGACTTCCATTTAAGCCATGAATAATACTAACAACTGTCTACTGGTAATAATGCAAATACAAGGCTATACTCTCTACAGAGTACCTAGTAGATGTCGTAATACTATCGTGCTAAGGCATACTATTATGAGACACAGCCTCGAGATCTAGACTGCCAATACCCCACTCTCAGCCTGGCAGTAACAAATTGAGTCATACCATGGCGTCTAAAGCAGATCCCAAAATGTTCCCCGACTTCTATGACACTTGCCTACCACAGTAGGATACATCAAAGGAATCTACCCAGAAGTACTACGTCTACCCACGTAGTCCACAGCCTTGTCTGGATTGATGATCTTATAAAAGTCACTTGGCATGTGTCATAATCCAGATTTACGTTGGACAAACTGCAAGTTGAGCCCATTTTATTATGATTCATGTTCTCTCAGTTATTGGCTGGGCTATCTTGCTGATAATCTCGACATGCATTGGGGGCGGCTAGGCTTACGGAGTAAAGCAGCGATATAGCCGAGGTACTATATCGTCCAGATCACGTCTTTGCAACTTTCCTCTTCCGTGTGGTGTCAAAGATAGTACATACCAAACGCATTTACTTCAGGAATAACTTCGAAATCGACCCTCTACATTAGGAACCAGATATCAATCATAGTAAACCAAACAATGTATTTTTCCGGCAAAACACCACCATGCATGCAATCCATATTACTATCCATCTAGCGTCCAGCACCAGATGCCAATCCCAAAGTACAAAGCAACACCATACCATAATACAATACACTACTCATCCATCTGCCACTGATAATCCAGCGCCTCCAACCTCCCCTTCCGATTCCTAGCCAAAAACCACTCCTTCTCAAACCCATTCCCGCGATCCACCCCATCCCACCGATGTCCAGGACGAATACCATACCGATTCGGCGCAAACCCTCCCTTATACAACGGCTTGCCCGTCCGACTCGTCCCTCCCTCCTTAACACTAGTCAAGAACTGCGCAGCCGGATCATTCCACCTCAACTTCCCCTTCAACTCATCATTCAGCTCCTCATCCTCCGCCGTCCTCGCCAACGGCATAGCCCTCACATCTCTCAACTGCTGCTTCCTCTCCTCCCTCTCCCTCCTCTGCACATCACCCATCAGCGCCTCCTTCGCTTCTTCCTCCTTAGCCTTCTTCTCCTCCTCCGCCCGTCTCGCCTCCGCCCTCTTCAACGCAACGTTGATAATCCGTCCACTCGCATCACGATAAATCGTCTCCTGCGCTTTCTCCCCCAACGCTGACTCCTTATACTTCGCCGCATCCGCCTTCTTCTTCCTCTCCTGCGCAGCGACCATCGCCGCCGTCTGCGCCGCCGTCTGTAATCCCGCCCGCGCCCCGGACTCCATCTTCACCCCTCCATCATCGTCATCTTCCTCCATCCCCTCCACAACCGGCGCATCATCATCCCCCTCATCACCACCCCCTTGTTCGCGTCGCCGTTCCTCCCTCTCCGCTATCGCATCCGCTAATATCTTATCCGCCGCGTCTTGCTCAGTACCACCCGGTGTAAGAGTCTTCCACCCGGAGGTCTTCTTCCGTCGGAACTCGCCCGTCCGAGCACCCCTGACTATTGACGGCGCGTCCTCGTCATCATTAAGGAGATTATTGCCTGCGGAGCGGAGATCAGGCGGGTCGTCGTCGGCGATGATGAGACCGGTGGGTGTGGAATCGGTGGTTTTGGAGCTGTTCTTCTTGCGTTTCTTCTTAGGACGGTCGGGCGCGGGGTCCGCGTTTAGGTAGTTTTTCGCGAGGTAGTCTGCTAGGGAGGACATTTTGTAGTGTATGTATATTTGGGTGGGTGGTAGGTAAGTAAGTGATGGAGTAGTGTAGTAGTGTAGTAAGTGAAAGGTCGGTATCTGATAATCGGACGAGGGATTTTCCGGGTAAGCTAACTGCAACTACCTACCCCAGTGATGTAGTTTATGCCTTAGGCAGGAATGTAATACATCTACAAAGAACATACCATCTCTCTCTCCCTAACACCATACCTATATACCCCATAATATAAACCAAATGAATGAAATAGCAAAATGCCCCGCACCGACGAAGCCGACCACTTCATCAACGCCGTCTACTCCGCCGTACAAGAGATCCCTCGCGGAAGGGTAACAACCTACGGCCATATCGCGACGTTATTAGGATATCGTATGTAACCCCAACCCATCCTTTCATAACCACATCCCCCATCCCACATCCACCATTTAGTAACCCTACACATCAACGATATGATAATGACAATAGGATTAGCAAAACGCCCCCGCCAAGTAGGAATCAGCCTGAAACATCTCCCCGCCGCAGAAACAGACAACTATTTCCATTCGGGGAATGTGCCCTGGCAGAGGGTTATTAATTCCAAGGGGATGATTTCGCATCGGTTTGTCTTCCCACCTGTTCTTACTGTTTTGGGAAGGGGGTGGTGGGTGTTGGCGATGCTGATATGTGTACCGTACTGTAGAGAGCCAGGGAGTGCGGAGAGACAGGCGGAAGCGTTACGCGGGGAAGGGGTGGAGGTGGAGGAGGATAGTATGGGGGAGTGGTATGTGGATTTTGGACGGTATGGGTGGTTTCCGGATATTTTGCCTAGTGAGGATAGTAGTGATTATGATGAGGGTCTTCAGGATCGTCATGGTGATGAGGGTGGTAGTTAGGCTACGGTTGACTATTCCAATGGTATAAGAACAGTGACTTCCATTCATGCACACAGTATCTACAGTTCCCCTCGGATAGATCCCACTTTCGGCCCATGCTTCCCCCCATCAGCAGTGGGAGCATGTATCAAACATGGTACCAGACACGGACAAGGAAATAAGTAGGATAGGATGGTAAGCTCGCGACTCTATAAGTGGAAAGTTGAGAGAGAAATCGGACAGAGAAAGAGAAAAAAGAGGTCGGGGGAGGGCAGTGCGCATGCAAGCATCATGTTCAAGGCAATCATAAACATCCAGTGAACGGCCAACGCAGCCAAAAAGAAATGGTAGTAGAGTATAAAGAGGTCCGCCGCACGGTAACAGAAACAAGGAAACTCGTCACCCGACTCGGCTGACGCTTGTGGTCAGGAGTCCTCATGCCTAAATGTACTTTTGTTTATCTCCGTTTCACTTCCATCGCCCATCCGTCAATGCCCTCGCCGCGGCTGCCGGGCGTTATGCCCAGATCAATCCCGTCCATACCGGGTGTATCCCGCATCCATTCGTGGGATGCCATGCCGCCTGCATTGGCGCGCCGCTCCGGGGACACTTCGAGCATTGGCAGCAGAAATTCGCTGATGCGCATGCTTTCCTCGACCGAGAAATGATACTTCTCCCGCAGCACATCCGGCAGGGCCCAGTGGCGTAACCGGTGGATGTTGCGCAGTTCGCCCTTGCGGTTGAAAATCTCCTGCGACCACTTGCCCGAAAGACAGAGAGACTTCGGGAAGGGTCCCAGAAGCTCAATGATCTGCGCGATGTGATCGTCGTCTTTACCATACTTGGTACCTGATTGCGGATCAAAAAGATAGTCGCCAGTGATGAGTTCAAACACCTGCAGCAATTGATTAGATTCTACACGACTGACGGGGCTATCGGACATACCATGCAAGCCATACTCCAAATATCTGTGCTCGCGCCCCATTTCGAGCCCAGGATAACTTCAGGCGAACGGTACTGTCGCGTTTGGATGTCGTTGGTGAAATGATGGCCGACCCAGCAGGCATTGCCCAAATCGGCAATTTTCACGGAGATTATATCACATTCCGGCTCTTGCTCCTCGCTCGACTGAGACTTGTCGAGCGAAATGCCCGATACCTCCCGTTCCAGCAAATCACTGTAATCATTAGCCATATCCCTCAGGCAAAAAGAAGATAACATACGCAGTCTTTTCCCGTTGCTTCTGCTTCTCATCATCGTCCTTGATTCCGAGCATCTCCTTCATCGATGTACTTTCTGCATTGGGAGTCACTAGACCAGTCAGCAATTTCGTAGCAATGGCTAGACGACGGTACATACCAGACGACTCGCTGACCATCTGACTAAGACTGCTGTGAGAGTTTTGCGAACTGTGCTTGAAGTCGAAGCTGGTATTGAGCGGACTCGGCAGCGGTTGACTCCCAGTGATCAGGGTCCGGCGCCGTCGCCGACCATTGCGATTGTCTTCCTTCTGCTCCTTCTTCGCCTCTTCCTTGACGTATGTCTTCACGATCTGCTCCACGTCGCCGATTTCGATCAGCACGTTCTCCGGCTTCAAATCCGTGTGGATGATACCACACTCCCGATGAAGGTAGTCCAATCCAAGCAGCACTTGTTTTGTGATCTGTTTCACCAAAGCCATGGGGATACCGCGGTGGTTCCATCGCTTGATCAACCCGAGCAAATTTTCTCCCAGCACTTCAAACACCATACACACATGAACCCCGTTGGGGCCCTTGTGCTCAAACGAGTCCAGCAGACTGACGACATGTTTGCGACCGGGGTGGGAGGGTTTGGCTTGGACGATGCGGTTCAGCAGCTTGATTTCATCGATGGCGGTTTCGGTGTAGTGGGCAGCGGAACGGACGACCTTGAGGGCGACATGCTTCCCAGTTGTGGTATCGCGGGACAACCAGACGGTCGAAAAGTGACCCCACCCTAGCTTGCGCACGACCACATATCGACCATTGTTGTAGGTTTCACCGACGGAGACCGGGTGGTAACCACCCTTGCAGTAGTCTTCCGAGTCCTCTTCCTCCGCGGTGGTCTCGAGTTCTTCGCCAGAGGATGAAGAGGACGAGCGCGATGGTGGGACGCCGTATGCGGGAACCCTGCCACTCATGGCGGTTAGAAAGAATCAGGATGTGGCGGGGAAAACCAAAAGAAAGAGAAAGGCGGGAGGAAGGGAGCAAAGAAAACACGGGCAAGCAGGGAAAAGGAATCTAGAAAAAGAAAGAAAGGGTAAAAGCCATACCCCTCAGTGGTAGTGGATGTGGTGGTGGTGGTGGTGGTGGTCGCTGGGTCGACTCCAAGCGTGGCGGCTTCGTTGGTGACGATCGGCTTTAAGTCGGTCCCTTTTCTTCTCTTCTTACCGCCATTGCCATTGGTAGCGGAGGCAGCGACACTACTCGCCATTTGCTTCCCTTTATTGAGAACGGCCTTGGTGATATCAACCCCATCCATGATGCCACAGAATTGCGACCGATCGGATCGGAAAGTAAGTTGGGGGTCAAAAAGGGGAGATGCAAAGCAGAAGGAGTGGATGGCGGGCGACTCGTAGCGACAGGATTCAGCTGGAGTAGTAAATGCAGTTGGTGGTGGTGGCCGGCGGCGGCGACAGCGGAGGAGAAGGCGGGTTGGCGCTGGACTGGTTTGGTTTGGCCGGCTTTTGGTTGTGCGAATCTGAGGGGTTGGTTTGGGTTCAGCAGCGCCCACAAAACGCCAATGCCAGAAGCAGCAGACACTCACCTGAGGAGGAGAATCCGGGATAAGAGTATAGGAGATTGTGCACCGGGAGGATGATGGTGGTGTTCACAATCGAGTAATTTCAAAGAATGGCCAACATGGACTCCAGAACATGGAAATGAAAGCCTAATACTACTATGAAACCAGTGCAGATGACTGGGGCTGGGCGGATGACGCAAACGATATAGACGGGGCGATTGAACACGATGGATGGAGCAGGAGAGCAATGCAACGAGGGGCTGATCACTACTCGTAGATCCGGTAAATCTCACTACCCTTGAATTTCAACCAGTTGGAAGTCCAAAAGGGGGAAGAGGAAAGGACCACAGGAATGGATAGAAGGGACGTGAAAGATCGATGATGGAGATCGACAAGGAATGTCCGCAAGCGTAGATGAAGAAGAAGAGAAGAAGAAGAGTTAGTAGTAGTTGTTGACCACCCACGCATGTGGCAAATCATGAATGGGCTATGGATCGATTCACCCGGTTGGGCCTGAGTAAAGTCTTCAGGCTCAAGCATATACATCGGTCAACGTTGAGGGACCTCATGCTTTTGGAAGAGATGCTCTTTGGGCTGGACAATGGACTTGAACCGTTGAAAGGGACAAAACAGTGTCATCCGAGGGATAGATGGATGGAGGGCAAGGAGGAGAGGTTTCATTGTCTGTCTACATCCCCAGCCCGGGCTACGGTGTAATAAACGGGTACGGAAACAGAGACAAGACACTACTACAACCCGCATTTCGTCCTACATGGATTCAGGCACCTTATGACACTGTTAAATAAACAGTAGTATGCGCGTGGCATGGATGCGATCGAGGGAAAAACGTGGAGCAGCAGTCTGGGGGGAATTTACCGATGCTGGAAGGGATAGCGACCGCATGAGACACGAGCGAGAGGCAAAGTACAATCAATCAATCAATCCTCTCTGACTGACTGGGAGTGGGACACAGGATCTAGACTTGATGTCACTTTCACGGCCCAGTGGATAAGCGTCCGATCGCCTTGCTCCAGCCGAGTCCCGGAGGAGGAAAGACAGGAAGATGCAAGACTACTTGCTTAGTGTCCGTCTTGTCCAGCTTTCTTTTGCGGAGTCGATGATTCATTTTGCTGGCTCTGTCTTTTCTGTTCCCCTCCGTCCTGCACGTGATGTCCCCTTGCGCCTGACTTCAAACCCTCAGACTCGATGGACTGAAACTGATTCAGGAAACATCCACAATGAACATATCCTCCCTGTGGTACTACAAACCGACACTAAGACTTGTATACTACCGTCTGAGACACTGATAACGCGTCACCGTTGGAACCATATCATACTCCATATCTCTCGTAGGAAATTGGACAAGACAAGATATTATTATTAAAAGATACTATTGCAGGAACCATCCCATTACTTCGTAAACTTGTACCTGGAAAAACCCACCACCACCCAATCGATCCCAC